TGGGAGTCCAGCGACATAGCCATTACGCTAACTGCTGGTCCCCTGAGTTTTGAGACTTAACCTCTGCCCTGCTTGGGCAGACTTTCTTGAAGCCTGTTACTCCCTTCCTCTTGTGGAATGAGAATGTCTACCCTGTGCCTATCCCACCACAGTATTTTGTAAGCATATAATTTGTTTTGACTTCACAGTTGACTTTGGATTTTTCAGTCAGTGGGATGAGTTTTAAGCCTTTTGGAAACATTGGGGTGGTTTTGTATGTGAAAGAACATGAATTTGGGGGACCAGGGGTGAGATACTATAGTTTAAATGTGTCCCCCTCGCCCCAATTCATGTGTGGACATTTGGTTGTGATGGGCCTAAGAAGGTGAAAACTTAATGCAGCCATGCTATTGAGAGGTGTGGCCTTTGGGAAGTTAGAATCAGGGTGCGGCCCCCATGATTGGATACTTGTGGGCTTACAGGGAGACATCATCGCAAACACACACACCTGTGCTCTGCCCAAGTTCTTGCCATGCGATGCCCTCACTGCGTTATCCACCAGCAAGAAGGACCTCACCAGATGTGGCCATTTGAACTTGGACCTCCAAAACCATGAACTAAATAGACATCATGTTCTTTATAAATTACCCAAACGCAGGTATTTCTGTTGTTAGCAACACAGAAAATTAAAACACCACCCCAACCCCTTGGTCCCCTAGCACTCACATGTCACAGCTTCTGTGAGGACATCGAGGTCAGTGCTGTCCACGGCCAGGGGGACTCCAGGGCCATTGCCTTGGGGCATGGGGGATGCTGCTTCTTCCAGGGAGCCCTCCTCTGGCGCTGCCTCCTCGGGGTGAGTGGATACTGTTACTATCTCCAGCCCAGGTAGGAGGGGTAGGGTCTGGGCTAGGGAAAAAGCAGATGACTTAGATGTGTTTCCCTGGTGCTCCCTGATTCCCCAGCTCAGGTCCCTGTCACACGGCTCAGCCTGCCCCGTGAGCCCTCATTCTGGGTCTCTCTGTGTCAGTTACCCAACCCTTATGCTATCTGGCGACAGTGCCAGATTCCAAAATAGAAAGCTCCCAAACCACAACCCGTGAGTGAGTGAGGGTGTGTGTAGGCATGTATGCGTGCATGCACACGGTGTCAGCGGGAGGGGCCAGAGACACACCGTATAAAGGGAAGTAGGGAGCGAAGGGAGAAACACCGTGCAGAAGAGAACAGTCAGAGATGGAGAGATAGGGACGGGCATCGAGACTGACAGGCAGAGACAAAGCATCAAAGGGACGGCGAAAGGTAGAAGCAGAGAGAGATGGAGCAGTCTGATGCGGGAGACTGAGCACGGGTGGAGAGGGGACAGGCGAGAAGCGCGGCAATAGTGCGGAAGTCAGTGATGGAGAGAAAGATACAGACAGGGACAGAGGCAGAGGCGGCGGGGAGGGGGGCGGGTGAGGACAGCGCACGAGGGAGACAGACAGTGAGAAATTGGGCCAGAGAGAGAGGACGACGGCAAGGGAAGGAGTTCGAGAAACTTGGGGGGGGCAGGGAGGGGCTCCAGGCAGGAAGGAGGATGAGGAGCCAGTCCAGGAGCACTGGGGGAGAGGCGCTGAGCACGGGTGGAGAGGGGGCAGAAACCCAGTGATGGACAGCGGGGACAGGCGGGAAGCGCGGCAATAGTGCGGAAGTCAGTGATGGAGAGAAAGATACAGACAGGGACAGAGGCAGAGGCGGCGGGAAGGGAGCGTGATACGGACAGCGCACGAGGGAGACAGACAGTGAGAAATTGGGCCAGAGAGAGAGGACGACGGCAAGGGAAGGAGTTCGAGAAACTTGGGGGGGGCAGGGAGGGGCTCCAGGCAGGAAGGAGGATGAGGAGCCAGTCCAGGAGCACTGGGGAAGAGGCGAACCGCAGCCCCATGTAATTACAGTGGCTCTGTGCAGGGGCGGTGGAAGGCAGAAATGGAGCCACCTCAAACCCACAACTCCTGTGGTGGCAAAGCTAGGGCCCCTGGGTCAGGGAGGAGGTGACAGAGGATGGGGCTGGGGAGAGGCAGGAGAGGGAAGCCAGAGCTCCCACAGCCTCAGCCATTGGCGGTGGGAAGGCCTGAGGGTGAGGTCAGGGTCCTGGGGCCAGGGCCGGACTGGAGCCATGACAGGGTGAAAGGTGCATCCCTAATCTCCTGTTGGATCCCAGGCGTGCAGTCTCAAGAGGGTGGTGGCTGGCCTTCCTGCTCCCTGTAAATCATGTTGGGGGACAGAGGAGTGAGCCGAGGGACAGAAACAAGAGGCTCAGAGACGCAGAGACCCAGAGGACACAGGGAGAGGCAGAGGGACATAGAGGGAACAGAGGTGCAGAGATGCAGCAGTGTGGCCAGAGGTAACGGGCAAACACCTGCAAGCCACATCCCACAGAGAGACCAAGAGACACTCACACTCAGAGACTGGGAGACCAAGAGACCAAGAGTGGTCTTGGAAACCAAAGTGGAACCTATCAGAGAGCAGAGGGGGCTTGCACAGGCTGTCCTTTTCTGGGCTGTTTCCAAATGACAGAGAGGGAGGGAGGTCAGAGGGGGAGAGATGACAGAGCAGAGGAGAAGGGTAATTAGAGGGATGGACCAAGGTTTGGCCTGTGGGTCCAGGATGGGAGCTGGAAGCATACTGATAGGGAGGCCCAATGGCCCACCCTCAACCCACAGCCTCCCTCTGTGACACTCAGGGAACTTTGTTTCAAAGACCCCAGTCTGCCATGACTTGGGGAACAGAAGCCCTCAGGTCCGTGGGGAGCACCGAGGGCGGCAGCCCAAGTGGGCATGCTGGAGCCTGCCTGCCAGGGAAAAACCACGGGCCCTGCCTGGAGACAGGAGCTGGGCAGGGGAGGGCGGGCTGAGCCTCGCGGGACTGCGGGAGGGAGGAGAGGTATTTGCTGGGAGTTTTCCCTGGTGCCCACAGCTGCTTCAAGGAGGCAAAGGTAAATGGGGTTCCTTCCAGTCTCAGCTGCTCTTTGGGCCGGTTAGAGCCCAAATAACATGTCAGATGGCTTCTAGAAGGTCATGGGGCTGGGACGAAGGGGAGAAGGCAGGTGGAGAGGGCACCCTAAAGGACGGAGCTGCCTGCAGGATGGTGCCTCTTGGCCCTGAACCTGGCCTGTACCAGCTCAGACGTGGCTCTTTTTTGTTGTTGTTGTTGTTGTTTTTGAGAGTTTTTTGGAACAGGGCATGTGCACTTTCCAGAAAGACAGAGAGAGACAGAGAGACAGAAAGTGAGAAATCACCTCCCGGGGGGGATGGCCATGCCACAATCCTTTTCCTCCATTCTCCTCTTGGGATCTTGGGCACACACGCACATGCACCCGGCGTGAGTTTAAGTCACTGGGTCCAAGACTCGAACCACAGTCTACTACATGAGAGTCCAGCAACATAGCCATTATGCCCCTGTTGGTCCCTCTATTTTTTATTTTAAAGAGAGATTTTTACTATAGGGCACATGTGCTTGCCGGAGACAAATTCAGAAAGTGAGAAGCCACCCCCAGGGAAATGGCCATGCTGCAATCCTTTCTCCTCCACTCTCCTCTTGGGATTTTGGGCACATATGCACATGCGCCCAGCATGAATTTCAAACTTCTGGGTCTGGGACTAGAATTGCTTCGCAGTTGACCATGTAGGTGTCCAGCAACATAACTATGAAGCTATCTTCTGGCCCCTCAGATGTGATCTTAAGGGTTTAAACCAAGTTGGGGGACCAGCAGGTGGCGTGGTGGTTAAGGGTGCTGGACTCCCACATGGCCAACCACAGTTTGAGTCCTGGACCCGGCAGCTTGCTTTCTCACTTTCTCTTTGTCTCTCTCTCTTTCTTACTCTGTCCCTCTCTGTTCAAATTAAAATAAAATAAATAAAATAAAGATAAAATAAAAAATCATTAAAAAAAAAGTTGGTTTGAAGAGGGAGGCTCAGGGATTGGGCTCTAATTTCCAGGGGCATCTTGCCATGGCCCCAGATCTTGAACTGGGGGTCCTGACGCTCCCTATGCGGTGAAGTGGAAAAGCTCTGCAGGCCGGCCGGTAACACAGCGGGTAAACACTGCCCAGAGAACGGGATCCATAGGGCTGACCGTGGTTTGGATCTCGGGAACGTGTATGTGCTCCAAACCCTGCTGGGATGGAGAATCGCAGGACAAAGACGGCAGCGTGACCACACTCCACCAGGGCTGCTTCCTCTCCCCTCTCCCCCTCTCTGGTGAGTGCACTTACCCTCTGGCAATAAAAAAGAAGGAAAAAGACCTGAGCAGGGAGCAGGAAGATCCCACCCAGGTTGATACCAGTGGCCAGCCTTGGGCCAGTGGCCAGAATTTGGGTAGCCTTGTGTGTAAAGGGGGATCCCGATGCTTATTCCTCAGAGTTTCGAGTCATCCATTAAATGCTCAGCAGGGTCCTGGCATGCAGGGGCCAATCATGAGCCCACCTTCTCACCTACCCTTCCCTCCATCCTGTGTTCCCTCCTTTTCTTCTCCCCTGCCCCCCTCCTGTGTTTGGCTTAGCATGTACTGAGCACCTATGGGACACCCAACAACAGGGCAAGCACTGGGCACACCAGTGAGAAAGGCCAGGTGACTGTCTCCACAGTGCTTTGTCAGGGGTGGGGTGGGCTGTCCCAGACACCGAGGGGCAAGGGTCACAGTGGGGACATCTATGTGAATTGTGATGCATGGCAGACATGATGCACGTGTGCATGTGTGTGTGTGTGTGTGTGTGTGTGTGTGTGTGTGCCCGAGAAGGCAGCACCCACACCAAGTCTTGGACAATCAGCAGCAAAGAAGAGAATTGCAAGAAGAGCAGCAGGAGCCCAGGCCCCAGCAAGCACAGCTGCAGCACGGCCGTGCAAATCACACGCCGTGTTCAGTGGAGTCAGGGCTGGGAGGCCTAGAACGTTGGCTGGTGCACTGAGGCTTCTCCTGACATCACCTGGGTGCACAGAGGTGACATTCGTCCTGTAGCAGGGATAGTCAAAATTTCTGCTCTCTTGGCCCACAAGGTTGGAGAGTAAAGAGGCAAGAAAGAGGGTTTGAGGGACCAGCAGGTGGCATGGTGGTTAAGGTGCTGGACACTCCCACATGGCCAACCAAGGTTCAAGTCCTAGACCTGGTGGCTTACTTTCTTACTTTACTTTCCCTTCTCTCTGTGTCTCTCTCTGGTCAAATTAAAGTAAATGAACGAATAAATAAAATTAAATTAAATAATTCTTTAAAAAGAAAAAGAAAAAGAAAGGGTTTGAGCCTGGGGCTCCCAATGACCCCTTCTCATTCAGTGTCACCTCTCCCAGGGTAGGCTCTGTGCAGTCACTTGCAGAGCTGGTGACATTGAAAGTGGAGCCCAGACCAAGGCCCAAGGAGGCCCATCTTGCAGCGGGCTTCCTAGGGTGAGCATTGGACCTCAGGGACAACGAGGGAAGACAGAAAAGCAAGTCCAGTAATCCTGACCCAGAGTCATGTGGGGAGTCAGACCTCCTGGAGCCAGGGGCAGCAGCAGGGACCCAGCAGACTGCAGGGAGCAGACTGAGGCAGAGGAAGAGATTGTCCCGAGTGCCCAGAGACAGAAGCAGCAGCAGGAAGACCCAGAGTGTCGGGCACCGCGACACCCACAGAAACGGGTCTGGCCTGGTGCAGAGGGAGATGAAAAACCCCACAAAGTCAAACCAGAGGGAGACCCAAGTGCTCGCACATCTGGAGGCCCAAAGAGCCTAGTTTTACTTCTGGTGATCCGGAGACATGGCTGTCTAGCCACAGAGGGAGAAGCTCCGGGGGGGCTCTCCGGGAGCGGCCTACCAGGAAGGGTCTATTTCCCTCCGATTTTCTAGAGGAAGAGAGTGAGGACTAGAGAGGAAAGCCAACATGCTCAAGGTTACATGTCGTAA